ACTCCGCCTCCTTCGGACGAAATTCACGTCAGCGTAAGCTGCACTTGCCGTTGCAGTTGCTGTTGCAATGTTGTTGCAACCAACTGCAGTTGCAACAGTACGGTTGCTTTTTGCGGTCCGCCTCCTTCAGACGACGAATCCACGGCAGCATACGCTGCAGTTGCAGTTGCAAATACAGGCTGTCATGCAGCTGCAGCTGCTCCTCGCTGGCATGCCGACGGGGTCAAGCAATTTGAAACTCGTTCCCCTTTTGAAGAGAGGGTCCCCAAGAATCGGGGATTTTGGGGGTTTTGGAGAATTTCAAGGTCATAACTGTAATCAAGGGCACGGAAAGGCCCCAGAATGACACAAACATCGAAGGCGAAATTTTGGGTGTACGCTGCCTTTGAGTGCTTTTTGGCAGTTTTTTGGAACATTTGGAGCGTTCTTGGACGAAGTTTAACTACACTCTCAAAGAAGAAAACTGAGTTGATTTCACGCAACTTCCAAACTTCGCTTGCTAGAGAGATAGAAATTTTATTGCAATACAAGATAGCTTGAGTCGTGCCTCAAAGTACAACTTATCTCGAGCCATAAGTTTCGTATTCATCACAGTTCTTCTCTAAGATTAGATCTCTGCTTAGATTTACACGTGCCAGCAGGGCTCGGCACGAGGTGGCTTAGTTGAAAATGCAAAAAAACGAAGTCCCCCTTGACTACGCCGCAAAATGCGACATCCCCCTTGACATGCTAACGAACAAAACAAACATGAGAACAAAAAGAATGAAACAGAATACAAGACAGACAAGAAATAGGCAATAAGAACTAGTAATTGTTTGTATTCTGCGGGTTGGCGGCATGCTGTGTCCGCCGCGCACAACCGCGAGCTTGGAGCAGCTTTACCGCTTTCATCCAGATAATTTGGAGGCTGTAACTAGGCGGGGAGGAGAGGGTTTGGGTAGGTACAAGAGCTGTTTTGTAGAGTACTAGATGTAGATTACTTTTATGTAAAAATTTGAAAAAATTACGTGAAGAATAGGAATTATATGACTATGTTTGCGCTAAGCCACCTCAGTTGGCTATCCAGGTGGCTTGAAAGCCACCTAACCCCGAAAAAAAGTTTGCCATGCCCTTAGTTCACATAATTTTTTCATAATTTTTCACACATAGTCCCAACTCCCCATTGCCCATCTACACACCTATTTTGGTGTCATTTCATCTTCACTTCGCTGTAAACAAACCCTTTGCTTATTTGCTGGCGGCATGCCGGCAGCGTGCCGGCAGCAGATCGAAAGACAGCGTGTTATGCTCTTCCGCAAAAACGATATCATCTTTGCTTTTTCTACCGAAAACGATATCCAGCTTGCCTTGCAAGCCACCTGTGCCGAGCCCTGCGTGCCAGCGTGATAAGGATTGAAGTACATTGGAAACATCGCATGACGTATTTGCAGCGAATTGATTTTTTTGTTTCAGCATGTAACCTCGAGTCATTTGTAACTTAATATGTGAGATTGCACACTAAGCCCTGTTAGCGACGGCACCCTTACTGCTAACTTTACAGTGAAACATTCTTCAACCTAACACAGTGCAGAAATGAGTTCTATTGACTAACATGTAACCAACAAAAAACAAAAGAGACAGGAAATAGCAGAAATCACTGAAAATGAGCAGGATCTAATTTTGCTGTTCGCCAGTTAGCATACATGGTGTGCAATACACATATTAAGTTACGAATGACTCGGCGATATTTCCACGAAGAGCTTGTTCAGATATAGCTTTCAAACAATGGCGTATCCAGTTTCCGTTCGGAGGGAGGGGGGCACAAAATTTTTCCCTGATGAAGGTGCATGTCGGAAAAAAATGTTTGGTATGCTTATCAACTATTAGAAGCTCAAAGGGGCTTTATCTGATAAGTGAATAAGTGAATGTTACTTGTAATTCTAGATCCGTAGTGTTGTTTTTACAGCAATGAAAAGTGCCTGTCAGGAGTAATTAATTCCTGTACATTTAGCGAGGGACGTAGTCGTAACAAAAGTTTCCAGGTTCTCAAAGTTATCTTAGTCACAGTCACAGTCAATAATGTGATCATAGTCACATTAAGTCGATAAAACTTGCCTGATATTTGAATGATGTTATACCGATCGGAATTTTAGCACTTTGTAAATTCTGCGGGTAAAGGGTTTTATTGGAGCATTTTTGCCTCGCATCGCTTTTTTCTAGTTCGTACATCTTAAATTTTTTCTTGAGAAGTGGAGTTTGTGGTTTTGATACTAACCATAAAGCGTGCAAAGGCACTCTCTAAAAGAGTCATTGCAATTTAGAGAATACTTTTTTGGTTGCATTACATGCTGTTTTCAGGTCTGTGGGCAGTGAAACAGTACACAGATGAAGAGTAAAGATGTTGAAACTTTTTTTGGATCCGGACCCTTTTTTTCAAATAGGGTACTGCTTCTGTCCTTGTGTTGTAATTGGTCCCCACCTTACAGAAAAGAATATCACCTTCTGCCATGTGCCAAAAATTTTTTTACATGTCATCTACATGTGCAGCCGTTTTACCAAGAATTTGTATTGCCCTACCTGGGACGTAAATTCAATGTATTTTTCAACCAGAAATGGTCCTATTTTCAGTAGAATAGTTTCAAAAATTAATATTATCAAATAATAAATTACCCTTTTATTAATGAAGGATTGGACTTGATAGAAGAGAGCACTGCGCTAGATTTCCATCATATAAGAGGCAAAACTATCATTAACAGCTACTCTAGCCATCATCTGTAGCCTTTCCTGACTAGTCTCATATAGTGGACGGAGTTCAAAAAGAAGGACATTTTCGAATTATTGCCGATAGCAATAAGATGTCCTAATATAAGTTCTGAATCGTTTTGCTTTTATAGAAAGCAGTTGAACAGCTGATAGGCGATCAAAAAATGGCCTTTTATTCACCGGAGATTCTGAAAAGACATGTCAACCTGCAATAAAAAAACGTTTCAATTTTTCCTTGACATGTGGCAGAGAGGCAGTCCTCGTGAAATATATGAAAAAGTGCTCTTGAACAAAATAGCGTATTTTATGAGGTCCTTTTGGAGAAATGGGTCCGAACAACGGAAAAGTACCCTTTTTTACCAAGCCAGCAACATTTTCTATCAACTCTTGCAATGCAACTAACTATTGTTTCCTGATGAAGTGCCTGATCTAAGTAATACAAACAATTTAGTATCCAGTGAAAATCAAGACGATCAGAGATTGTTGGACCAAGAGAAGTTATCCTTCTGACCTTCTCTTTGGCTAGCGTTAAAGGCAGTGTCTCACCAAAATTTAGTTGACGAGATTTTTGCATTTTGCAAGCCTGACGGACCCTGTCTAGCACTGTATGGGCTTAAAATCGCACAAAGTTCCCAAAAACCCCGTTTTCTGGAGGCCCTGCGGAAGCAACGTGGACGAGTTGTGCCTTCCAACTTCAGCCTCAGCCACAGTGGCAGCAACAGAGGGGAGGTAGATGCCAATTGAAGGGACATGTTCAAACGCGTAAGGGGGGAGACCGAAGGAGTCGTCCGCGCGTATCAAGTCGCACTCCGCGTACCACTTTGAGCGAATTTTTCTCAGCGTGGAGGGGGTCAAATTGAGTGGGACTTGTTGCTATGGCCTATTTACAGCTCCCTATTACAGAATATGTGAAGATCCGCGCGACCTCAACTTTGGTGAGACACTGCCTTTAAGAGCAGCTGTCTTGAGATTGTACAGCAATATTGAAGCTCATCGTTTGATAGATATGATTTCGATTGTATAAGTAGGTAAGTTGTACCTCAAGGTACTTTTCATACATTACTAAATACCTTAGGAAATATTTCTAGGTACTTTTGTGTATGCCGATATTTGCCAGTAAGGGAACAGAAAGTGGCTTTCGATTGTTTGTGTTTATTCTTGATTTCAATGCCTTCATTTATGAACCCCACTCAAACGTGGACTCATTGATGAAAAAACTCAGGCACCAACTTTTATTGTTATTGCGTATATATAACAAAAATGTTTTAGCCAAAAGAATCATGAATTCAGTCCCCCATCCCTGCTCTTCCCCTTTCACGTCCTAACATCTGTGACTGCGCCCTGCTCACATCGTCGGAATCGCCATAAGTTCCATTAACATAATGTAAAAACGACTAACAATATTGACGAATTCGACCCTCTCAAATCTCATTTTTTTCACTGGAACTTGACTTCAAAAATCGACAGAGAGGGCTGGTCAACGAGCTGTTAAGTTGATCATCTCAGTTTTCGTTACATTGCATGAATTATCGATGTTATGCACTCCACGATTATAAGCTGTATTGAATAATAAAATAAAAAAGTTGATTTCAAAATTCATCAGATTTCTCTGTCAGAACCGCTGAAGGGTCGCAAAGAATGCCTGCCGGTTACTGTTTACGAAGCGGAAATTAACGTGATATCACATCTATCCCAATCCAAAGGGATTTGTCTCTTCCGCGTACAAGAATTCTGTTCAACACTGAGAACTAGTCAAATTTGAACTTCTGACAAGCCATTGTATCGTTGTTTATTCACTGACGTTTATGTTTATGTTTATGTTTATGTATTACGCACAAAGCGTGCCATAACCATAACAAAACACGAGAACATAACCAGGAACAAACACAAAGAACAAAACAAAAAAAAACATCCAGTAGGTTAGCTCAAGTCCAGTCACCAAATGTTTTAGAAGAAAAAAAATTGCGAATTAAGCTTGTATAGACTATGTATGAAGTGATCACTTGAAAATAATGGAGTAAAGACTGGAGTCTGTCCCATGCCCCCTGCTTGCCCGGAAAGGCGATTTTTACTATTCAGTATAAGCAAACTGGAAAGTAGGGAAAGCGGTATATATGGAACTCCCGCACAACCAGTTCCTGGGGAGGAGCAGAACTCTTGACGAAGACGTCTTGATATAGTGCTGCCTCGTCCTGACTCTTTTCTAGTTAAAAAGAAAAATTTCTGATATTAAACGCATAAGCGTTCGTTTATTATTCCTACGAAGAATAGTCAAGGGAGTTCGTCGTTTCTTCATTGTCCAGGATCCTGAAAATGTCGATGAGTCACTCCAAATTCTTCAAAAAAAAGTTTGTTATTGTAGTATGGATTGTGAGAATTTTTCTAGCCATTACCGCATTTTTGTAACCATAACGTAACCGGGGATAAAGCAAAACTTATCAAGAATTGTGAAGATGACGTTATGTCATTACATGCAGATATATTGCTCCCGCGCTCTTTGTAAAAAATTCTTTAGGTTTTGTCTAGGTAAATCTCTCTTAAAAGTTAAACGGCATGCAACTTTGAACTTCGTAGTCAAATCTCATTAAACTTCTTATCTAAATAAATAACTCACCAAGGTTTTAGAATACACACTACAGCGACTTTTCGTTTCGGACATTTTGCATGTGCACATGCACCCGCAGCCGAGATTGTAGGGTTCTGGAAAAATTTTCAAGTTTTCTGGAATGCTTGGAAATTTGAGAAATAAGCCTTATGCCTAATATAAACTGAACTCACAAGATTTGCGGAGAGAAGTAAAAGGTATTTATTTGAATCATACAGGCTTAAAGAAATGAAAGCGACAACACTTATTCAGTCTACTTTGCGACTTTTTCAGAATGGATCATCGCGAATGCAAACTGTGTTGCGAGCTACAAATCTTCGGCGATTCTAAGTAAATTCAAAATTAGTTGGCATCTACGAGGGACATTTATCTGGCCCAAAGATCGGCAGGCATTTTTCTGTAGCTTTATTCTGGAACCACACTTTGATCTTACGCGATAGCGTAACAAACGTTCATTGTGAAGCCGTTACCGAGCGCCCTTCGGCAAATTCAAGCCTAGGAATGTTTAAGAGCAGTAACCTGTCGCATAGTTTCCCTGGTCTTTTCTGCCAGTGAGATCAAGTCCGCTCTGCTCTCTTCTCTTTTCGAGACGAAAGTAGGATGTTCTTAAAGTAGAACTTTTCTTTCGTAAAGTTTTGGCATTGATAAAGTTTTTTGAAATTTATCTGCAAAGCATAGGAATTCCTAGAAAAAGTGTCTTACATGAATTTCATGATTTTTCTGCCAGTGAGACCAAGTTTTCCCTGCTTTTTTCTATTTTGGGAGTAAAGAGAGGATATTCTTAGAATGGAAGATTTCAAACATCTTTCGGCAAAGTTTCCTGAGTAGGAATTGTGAGAAAGTGTTCAGTCGCGTAAAGTCCCCTTGTTTTTTCTGCCAGCGAGAAAAGCTAGTACTCCTCCTTCTTCTTTAGCAGCATGTAGGATAATGGGATCCCAGCTAGATTTCTCATTAGGTATCGTAAAATATCTTCAAGAGAGAATTGTTTTTTGAGAAATTGTTCTGCACTATGAGAGTCCATTACTTTTATTTAGGCATGATCAAAGCTCATATAGGCTTTATTATACAGAGCAAGAAGGGTTGCCGAGAGCTGAGTCCAAATCTCTCCAATCCCTGATTTTCTCTGTTTTATAGAAATATTTACGACTCTGCTACCCTACTAGCCTTTGGTCTTCTTTTGTAACGAGACTAGAGCTTGCATATTGCATTGCTGGATGCGAAAGTAAGATTACTTTTACCAAAGGCTGCTCATCATTTTCTTTTCTGATAGCAAAGAAGCATCTATAAGTTACATAAGCTTCCATGCAAATTTTTATCAATTTTGCAAGAAATAGGTTTTTTTCGATACAGCCAAGAATGAGAGGGATGTGCGAAAAAATTCTGCGAGAAATCCACTACTATTTCTAATTTGGCAATAAATGCAATTTTTGGATCTTTTTTTTTGCTGTTGAAATTTCAGAAATCTTTCAGTTTTCTTTCATGACTGTGGTGCGTTCATTTGCTCTATAGGGCAAGAGTTTCGTAATCGCATTGCTTTCACAATTTTCATGCGGCTTATAAGGACAGCAGGGACATGTCACGATGCTAACGTTTACGCTAATATTTCTTGAAATCATATTCCGACAATTTTAAGGACGGACTTCTGATGTTTCAGAATGTGAAGTCTTTTTTTTGCGCTGCGGTACTTTCCCCGACGGGGGTGGTAATGCGGCTCTTAGACAGTTTCATGCTTAGCAATGACTAGCTAGCGGATCCAGGTAGGCGAAATAGTTGGAAAAGTTATTTGCCCGGACTGTTTTCTGCCTAAATCAACAGCTTTTTAGCTTCCAATAAAATAGAGAATAGAGGTTGTACTCAGCTACAAGACGATAATATCGCGTTGATTTGTTTTTATGAATGGAAAGAATTACCGAGACTAATTGTGACTCCTTGTCTTCAGAAACACTAGCCTTCCAAACTTCCAAGGGGTCTGAGGCAAGTTGAAATGCTGCTTTCCTGTAGTATGTAGGTAATTTTCCTCTAATGTGTCTCCTAAAATTAGTAGCATTAGTAACATATATCAGTTAAGTACAGAGTCAAGCGAGGGGTGTGGCACACGATCGCTGGTTACGACTCCCCCCCCCTGATTGCTGTCTTAATAAGACCCCCCCCCCTGAACTATATACCTAAGATAGCATTACCAGAGTTGAGAAAGAGGTCAGGTACAAGTCTTTCGAAACCATTCCCCCTCCCATGAAAGCCCTCAAACGACCCCTTCTTCCTCCTCTTAACCTCTGGACCTCAAAGTGTGACATTCTGGAAGACACCATCTTTTTCTAGAGAGTTTTCAGATTTCTGAGAGCTGTACGCCCGATTTTCTGTGACTGCACTTTACAATCACACGTAATTTGACGGCTGAAGCAATGGAGCGCTTTCTGGATTTTGAAGGCAAGTTAAGGGGGTGTGCCGCACCCCATTAACTATATCAAAAAACATCTTTAGCGGACAGTATTTATATGAATCGATAGCCTAAACCTTGTAGATTCCATAGGACTGTTTGGAGCTTGATTTGTCTACTTAGCTCTAAGTAAAATTTTGGTGAAAGCACAGCGATCAAAAGCGAAAAATGGAAAAAACGAGATTTTGGTTGGCTTCTAATTCCACATGCAGGTCTTCTGAAGCGGTATTCCTGAGGTGGACAAAGAAGGAGTAGTGCTTTGTCTTGAGTGCAAAAACGGATAGCTAATTCACCTTTAAACAAAGTTAACCATGTTGGAATTTGACCATTTCATTTAGGTAGCCTAGTATCTTGAATCTTCAGAATTCGCTCATACTTTGTCTACAGGGGTTAATTGACATGCTAATTATGGATATGATACGAATATCATGTCATCACTATTATCAGATTACCCAACTATGACCCTCTCCCCTTTTGACTCCTCAGTACGACCCCCCAGGTGTGGCGTGCCGCACCCCACGCTTGACCCTGGTTAAGTATGGATCAAGATACCATTTACGACTAGCACAAGCAAAACCTTTGCACTCGATTGGCTCCGAACAGTTTCTTTTCGCAAGCATTCGCGCTTCGTCATAAACGTCACAGTCGGTCTTTAATGGGCTTACTGATTGAGTTTATACCACAAAAGCTACTTATACTCACCAAAGTAATCTGCTCTTCTTCTTCTTCATCAACTTCATTGTGATCGGCAAAGTTATTTCCATAAACATCCTTTTCTAATTTGGAAAATCCATCCTCGATTGCATCAAACAGTTTAGGAGGAATGCCACAGATACCTTCATGGAAAATGCTACACTCTCTACTTTCAGACACTTTCTACACTATTTATAAGAAATTTTGCCTCAAAAAACTTTTGGTCTTACAAGGGAAGTCACTTAACTTAGGTCGGCCTTTGAAATGGGACACATACATTTAGATTCAGCTCAGAACGCTAATCCAAAATGCTGTCCTTAGCTGCGAAGCGTGCCTCTGAAGCGAGTTATGAGCTTTTTCCTAAGCAAAGTTTGCGTGCTGACCGACTTGGGCATGCTACGGTATCGTCATCCAGGTAGAGTAGTTTAAATACATACAACACCCTATCAAAGCCAAATGACTTAGTTTGATGTAATTTCAATTTCTCATTACTTTTTTAGGCAGATTTTCATCCAAAGGCCTTCTTTCCATATTCAGTTATATGCCAATTACACATACTAAAAAGCTCATAACTCTCGAGGAATGCTTCGCAGCTAAGTACAGCATATTTGGAATCAGCGTTCCGAGCTGATTCTAAATATGTGTGTTTCATTTCAAAGGGCCGACCTAAGTTAAGTGACTTCCCTTGTTAGCTGTTTTATCCGAGGCTACACTCTGATAATTTCAAAACGATGTTCAAACTGTTCTTGACCTCTGTCAGGGAAAGGCACTTAGATCGGCCTTTTGAGAAACGACATATAGTTAAAATCAGTTTGAAACTGATTTCAAATCTGCTCATAACTGCGACGCATACTCTAAAGGTATGTGCTTTTTTCTGGGCAAATTCTGCGTGTTGACCGACTTAGCATGCTACGGTATCCATCTAAAATGGTTTATGCATGCTATACCCCCTCAAATAAAAATGTCTCAATTTGATGATTTCGATTTTCCACCTCTTTTGGGCAAATTTTCATTTAAAGGCCTTTATTCCATATTCACTTTCATGTCAATAACTCATGCTAAAAAGCTCATAACTTCCTTTAGAGGAACGCTTCGCAGATAAGCACAGCATATTTGAAATCAGCGTTCCGAGCTGATTCTAAATACCCTAAAATCCCATAGATAAGAGCGGTTTAATTTACCGGTGAAAAACGAATTGGAAGAAATTGAAATTGAACGCAGTCACCCCTCTAACTTGATGGATGGGTAAATAAAAATCGGAGAAGAAGCTTAGAAGATGCTCAGATGCTCCGCCCCTCAACTCTAAACCCCGCCCACTTAATAAACAATTCATATAGAAAAATAGCGATTTTAACGGAATTTCTGAATTTCTATATGAATTGTTCATTAAGTGGGCGGGGTTTAGAGTTGAGGGGCGGAGCTTCTTGTAAACTTCTTCTCCGATTTTTATTTAACCATCCATCAAGTCAGAGGGGTGACTGCATTCAATTTCAATTTCGAGTTGCGTAGGCAGAAGAAGTTGTGCTAACTCTGGACCTTCACAAAGATTTCATTTTCAGAAGGCACTCAAAACTTCGAAAGGTCGTCTTCAAATGATAACAAAGACAACTTGAGATCAGCGCTTTGAGATGCACCGTATAATTTCGCATTGGCCACAGTCATCAAAAGCTTTCCTCTGTAGATCAGCGCCTTGCTCGCTTCCTAAAGGTCGTCATACTTCATGTTTCCCCGAACATTTGTATGGAAGGCGATTCCCCGATAAAAGCGACCGGCTTTATTGATTAGCTTTCCTCCAACCAGGCTCTTTTTCTGCAGGGCAGTGGTGCGTTTTCAAATGCAGTGTCTTGGCCGGGCCCGGCACGAGGTGGTGAAAATTTTGTTTCTTTGGCCACAAAAACGACATCCGCTTTGCTTTTTGTCCCAAGAACGATACCCAGCTTGCTTATAAGCCATCTGTGCCGAGCCCTGGTTTTGCAAAGCTTTCGAGTCGTTCAAGACGTGCTTCAAAAGCAGAGATGCTGAGATCTCGCGGCTTTGATGGAATCTTCAATTTTTGGGCCATTCTTGGGATTTCACTTTGAGAAATCATGATAAAGGATAAAGGATAAAAGATTCGGCGTCTTCAGTACCCTCTGAGGGCATGCGCCGAACGCACACACTAACTTTATAGTCGGAGAGGCAGTTGTATGCGTGCGAGCCTATTACAGTGACTTGCGGGGGCCAGCCGTTTCCAAGCCAGTGCTTTTATCCTCTCAGATTCTCTGGTACCAATTTACCGGCCCCGGAGGGTAGAGGGCTTGGTTGGCCCACGGGCGGATATCGAACCTGTGTCCGATCTGGTCATAGCGGCGCCTCATACCACTACGTCACTCGTCCCCTATGAGAAGTCATGATATCAGTTGTTTCTCCACTTGATTTGCTAAATGAACATACATTGTTTTGTAAATTTTTACTCACGTTCTTCCTCTACTTCATTTTCTGAATCACTACTGGATTCCCTTGAGTGAGCACAGAAAAAAACCTGGAATTTGCGCTTTTCCTTATTGATACTTTGATGTAAAGCGCATTACCATTGTAAAAATCATGATCTTTGGGGTGTGCATTCGAGTTATTGAGTTCGATTTCTGTAAGACTAAAAATGTTAACATCGAGCAAACACGTAAGCAAGAAAGAGACAAGAAACATTTTTTTACATAAATTGTCCTCAGTTTTTAGTTGCATGCAATGGCAGAGGGGAGACGAAAATTGAAAATAATTGAACTCATTCTAAGATAAAACATAATAAATTAGAAAGGATATAAAGAATTCTTTGAAGATGACCATAAGCCGATAAAAGTATAATTGAATTAATGTGAGTTTGAAATGCACAAAGAGTAGTTATGAAACCGCACTTAGAATATTAAAAATCTGTAAGACTTCTTTGTTAAAAAAGATATTTCGTGTGAATTGAAAAAAGAATGCAAAAGTGCATTTGCACGATTTTTAAAAACATCTCCCTTTGTTGATAGTTTTGTGAGATGTTGATACCACAGGAAAATTAAGTAAATTATGGCAATACAGTCAAAAAATCTGTAATTTCACCAAATGTGCTCGCTCATAATGATGCTTGCTATCCTCAGATGTGCTTCTTGAAAAAAACCACTAACAATTCCCTCTTAAGATGGGGGCTCGAATCACCCATAGCGTTTACAAGTGAGATACACATAGGTTATTATTCTAAGAGCATCCTCTTGAATCTTGCGTTTATCTGACAAATGTAGTTTCTTGTGTCTAGTGAAACTTCCAAAGCCTTTTTTTATTAGCATATTGGCGCCCCCTTGACATACATGGTGTGTCAAATTTTGAATTCTGACGATTATACTGAGACAAACTCGCTTCAGAAGTTTTTTTGGCTGGATTTTGAATAAACTCTATTTATTTTGTCACCCTCACAGAGCTATTGTAAGTATGATTTAGTTTATGGCAGTATGCGTGATTCCATCTGAAAATGTCGACCGATCTGTGAGGGACTTGGTACAAAAACAGTTGTCTCAAAAATTGCGTGCTCGTCAATGTGTAAACAAATACGGAGAGGCAGAAGCTGTTAGATATAAGTGTGAAGTTTTGAGAAAACAATTGACATTTTTGAATGTAATGCAAACACAACACTGGCGTGCCATCTGAATTGCATCTCGAAAGTGCTTTGTGGCAAAAGTGATTAACGTTTGTGTATTGTTGCCATAGTGCATTGCTCTCAATAAAACTGTCAAAACTGTATTATTTGCAAATTCAAGCATCAAACATCTCAAACAAGTTACGGCAATTTGAATGCAGTGCTGCGTTTGACTTTTGAATGCACTAAAATTGGTATCAGCTATGGTAGAAACAATGACTAATCAATCACAAATGGAAACAAAAGCAAGTCGCCTTCTCTGCTTGCACTAATCTATTATGATGCTCGCATTAGTGTTAAACTGAAGTTCAAAACTACAAAAAGCTAAATAACATTCTTTCGCTAACCTTTCATTATTTGAGCTAATACTTGAGTGTTTTTGCTTGAACCCAGATTCCAAAATGTAAAATAGGTTTAATATTGGTTTGGCTAAAAAATAATTTTGGTCATATTTCACGGTTCGTAGAAATGTCACAGATAGATTTCTGTACAAGTGTATTTTCATTCGGAAAGGTAAATCCATTTAGAAAGGTCGGACGTACCATTCGGAAATGTAAATCAAGGAAAATCGGACGATCAACTTCGTTTGCTCGAAGAATATCTTTTTGGTGGCGAAAGGTGCAGGTAAGCAAAAAAGCCAGATTTTCTTGTCAAATTTGCAAAAAAAAATCATGCTCCGAAAAACAAACTGAAATTGAGTGTAAGGTGCACGAATGGTACGCACGCTTACGATTTTGTAACATTTAACCATTTGTATGACCATAGATGGTCAAATTCACCACATTCAAAATGTTCCAGAACTGACTTTCACGCGGAGATACTCTAAACAGTCATAATGCTGGCTGCAGAAATACACAAACAACAGATTACAGCTTCCATTGTGGTTTGACCTGTAGCCAAAGGTTGTATGCATTCAGCTACCAAAAGACACCTGTGCACTTACAATAACCTGAATACGAAATTTGGAAAATTAAGAAGTGATTTTTTGGAAGGCTAACCATATAAGGTCATAAATGTCTGAGAATGTGATATTAGAAGCTTTAATTACTTGTTCACAACAAATCACAGCTAAAGAACAGTTACTTGAGTTTTTACGGAGCTTCGAAGTGCATGTCAACGAAATTATTCATCAGCCAACCTAATAGTATTCTCGCCCATCTTGCGGTTAGGGGATACTTGGTGCTTGTGAGAATCATGTAATTGATATGAATCAAAGTTTTTTCAAGCTGGTCTCAAAAGTTTGTTTACTATATGCTGCGCAATTTTTAGAATTATGAGCGGCGTCCTTCCGAACACGTATCAGCACATAAATTTATGTGATTTTAATAGTTAATTCGAGAGGCGAATGATTCCAAAAGTGCGCAGATTAAAACAGAAGATTTTGGTCTCAATCGTTGAAGCTGTGCCGCAGCTTTGTGCTTATTCGATGGGCGCTTCTCCATAAAATCGCTTTGCGGTTTCGAGAAACTCCCTGTTAACCTGAAAATCAACATTCCAAAGTGAGAATTTGGGCACTAACAAGGAGAGTTCGCCGAATCGAAGTGGCCGATTGATATGTGGTATATACCTGGGCTCGGGGCTCGGGAGGTTAGTATCAAATGTGTGCCCATTAGCTGCGACGCGTTATTGTGAAGCAAGTTATGGCACTTTGGATTTTTTGGCTTGCGTGTCTAGCGAACGCATAAATGCTCCTGCAGTGATTGCGTTGTGTAGTGGTTAGTGTGTCGGACTCACAGGTGACCGGTGAGGGTTTGAATCCTGTTGCTATCCACGTTTTTTACGTTCTTCCCAAATTTCATTTTCACCTGTTTTATGTATTACTAGCTGGCATACCCGGCTCTGCCCGGCCCTATCAAAATACTATGTTAAAGGTTACTATCCTATCCCTGTACAAACTTTTTCCTGTGCCCACTTTTACTATTCCTTATTGCCGTTTTGTTTTCGTAATCAGCGTGTGAGCTGCATTTGCTTCAAGACGTGCCTCACGCTGTTTAGACGTTTCTCCTGCTTTAGTATTCCGCATTCTCTTAGCATTGGAATCAATCCATCCAATGCTTGCTCTTTCCTTTGTTGGCATTGTGATAGCTGTCAAAAGATAGATTTTTTTCTCTCATTTCTCTCATCAGAATTGCTCGATTACCACGAATGTACGCATAAGCATTGCGAAGTGAAAGCAAACGGTAGCACTAATACTAAAAATCATTTCCTATCGCGCTTCTCGCTATCCGGTGGCTCAACAATTCCGCAACACTCTATCACTATTTCATGGTAATCCGACAATACCCTTTTTGTCATCAATCCAGTAATGCCAAAAGTGAGTTAACGCAGTTTTCGAACTACTGTAGTTTCTACTACTACAGTCCTAAGCATTATTTTAGAATTTCTGTGTTTATCATGTTCAAGAAGGGCTTGAACTTTTACTGCTCAATAAATCGTCAAAGAGATTTGCAAAACAGTGTCCGTTTCAAAAAAAAAAACGCGGCGTCCATGAGCTTGCGGAAAGACAAAAGACTATGGCAGGACGAAAACGTGAAGTGATCGAGAGGGGGCAAACTAAGCGCGCGCATATCTTCACCGTTGTAAACCGTACGCTTCATCAACCCGCTTTACCCCTTCGTCATGCAGTAGCCTATGCACATCTCAGCATGAATGCATACATTATTTTCGAACATATAGAAGACTTACTCAAGTGCGCTTTTTGTCACTGCTCTCTGCTTGCCGAAACTTAGAATAAGGTGTACCTCTACTCTACACCCTACTCGAACAAATGATCTGATAAGCTTCATTTTCCTCGATGTAAGTAAACAAATCAATAAATCGATAGAAGGACCCGGTGACTCTCCGCGAAAAGTAAGTAAAAAATGACACATATGGCTGGTTAAACTCTACATTATGCATCCTGCCGTGTCATTCTCGCAAGAAGCCCATTAGCAAAATAATACGACGTGATACAACTTGAAGATTGTCACGAAGATACTACGTGCAACCGAAGATAGTATCGTCGAGTCATTTGTAATTTAATATGCGTAGTGCACACTATACACGCCAATTGACGAACTGCAGAATTAGAATCTGCTCATTTCTAGTGATTTCTCTTTGTTTCCTTTTCTATTTTTGTTTTAGTTGATTATATGTAGTCAGTGGAACACATTTCTACATCTTCTTAGGCTACAAAATGTTTCACTGGGAAGTTGCTGTATAAGTGCCGTCGCTAATAGGGCTTAGTGTGCAATCTCACATATTAAGTTACAAATGACTCGAGGTTATATGGGAGTGAGAATTTGGCAAATCTTCAAAGTCAACTGACAAGCCCTCGCTCAAAAGTCGTTGTTCGCCCAAAATTGATTTTAGCATAATTGTCAAAGGAGTTTGGCTTCTGTGACATTATGCTTCCTCCATATGCCATGGTTGGTTATTTGTAAGCAATCTAATATTATATAGACTTTGGATAAAGTCTAATTGGTCAGAGCAAGAAGTTTGCCCGAAAATTTTTACATATGAAACATTGGTAGAATATTCGTGAGAAAAATCACCCCATAAACCGTGTGTGTCATTTTTCACCTCAATAATACATAAAACAGGTGAAAAAATGAATTTTGAGAAGAACGCAAAAGATGTGGACAACAATAGGATTCGAACCCTCACCGGTCACCTGTGAGTCCGAAACACTAACCACTACACAACGCAATCACTACAAGAGCATTTATGCGTTCGCTAGAGACACGCAAGCCAAAAAATCCAGAGTGTAATAACTTGCTTCACAATAACGCGTTGCAGCTAATGGGAGCACATTTGATACTAACCTCCCGAGCCCCGAACCCGGGTATATACCACGTATTAATTGGCCACTTCGATTCAGCGAACTAGAGATCTCAATGACTTGTACATTCCCTTTTCATCCCAAACGCTATGTCCTTGAAC